GAAAAAGGTAAGGTATACGAGTGGAGGAGTAGAGATAGCCGGCCGCCTGCTCCAGCTCTAGATTCTCATATGGACAAGGAGTCTGCCCCAAAAGGAGGGAGGGAGGTATGACTCATGGTTCCCACAATTTCCTAAATGGCTCCATGGTATCTTTTTGGATTGCAGTGAGTTTCTCAAAGAACTTCACACATGATACTCTACGCTTGACTTCAGCAAAAGGTAGGTCAGGAGATTTCCAAGCCTTCGCAATGACCCGTTTGGTCTCTGCGAGAATGAATGTGATCAACCGGTGTTGACCCATTGTACACACCAGCGGTTTTTTATGCAACAGAGCTTCCAATGGGTCCTTACGAAACGTCTTGCCAGTTACTGTTTATAACAACAATGATAGACTATGCCAGAATCTCCTTACCTTAGGGCAGGACCAACAAATGTGGAGGACAGATCCCTCCACCCGGCAACCCCGGAAACAGTTCGGTGAGTAAGATGGGATAGCCCTGGAGATCCGGAGCAGGACTAGATACCACCTAAAGAGCAATTTATAGTTGGCTTCAATCGCTTGGACATTCATTGAACTCTTGGAGGTTGTCCTCTATATCTGGGCCCAAGTGTCAGGGGAGATGGAGCATCCCAGATCTTGCTCCCATTTGGAGGTATAGACGGGTGGGAAGGCATGTATTTTATTCAGTAAAAGGGTTATAGAGTCGATATAATCCCCGACCCTTGGGTACCATATTGTAGGAGTCTCTCAAATGGGGTGGAGTGGGAGGTTTTGTAGGGGGCCTAGGTGGGTATGCAAAAAGTGTTTGATTTGTAGGAATTGGAAGACGTGTCTAGGGGTTCGGTGATAGACTGAACTTTTTTTTATTTACTTTACTGTCAGGGGCTTTGTGGAAATATCAGGGCTCTAAACAGACCCTTGGTATTTCCCTTTTAAAATTTACTTTTCTTTTTAAAATAGAAAAAGACATTGAGGACACCGAGTCCTAATCTTTTTTTTCTGCAGCCAGTTATGAATGACCAGGAAGCCTCTGTACTCAGTGCTCTGGTCCATTTATAAACTGAGGAGATAGTAACTGATACTATGTCCACAATCATGAATGAACAGGAAGTGATGTGGAACACTTCCTGTTCATTCATAACTGGGGACACAGTAAGCATAGTATGTCTTCAGTTATTTACAAACACTCAACGAGCAGTTCTCATCACTGAGTGCTTGTAACCCACTCTCCATCCTGACTTACCTGTCACAGAAGGCAGAGCAGGGTGGTGTGGGAGGAGAGCTCTGCTTTTTGTGACAGCTGACAGCTCTCTCCTCCCCCACACCTCCCTGCTCGGCATTCAGAGGGCCATCTCTTCTCTGCACCGTCCCGCTTGGCCTCATGAAAACTTCTCTCCTCCCCACGGAGAGCAGCGGGGATCAAAAGGACACAGACCGGTGCCCAGCAGGGAGGAGAGAAGCTAGGGATCCACTGAATTTTTGGCTGCATTTTCGTCCGTTTGGCCAGAAGTGCTATTTTCGTCCGAAATTTTGTCCAAGTCCCCTCCCCTCCCTTCCTTTTTAACTTAAAAAGCAAGAAAATTCTCGCCTGCAAGGCAATGAGCAAAAACTCAGTATATGCCCAGCGTTACTTTCACCTCCTAAATTTTGTGTAAACCCCAACATTGAACTTCAGTGAAGGAGATGAGGAGAACTCTATATTCTTTCTAATCCATCAGTAACAAAGTAGGCAAGGCTGATACCACGTGCTTGGAAAGTCAGAGCTGTATTGTCATGTCAAAGAGGAAGATAGGAGCACGCTGTACTTACATAGTTACATAGTATTTGAGGTTGAATAAAGACATTAGTCCATCAAGTCCAACCTATTAGGATCTCATTCTAGGAGTACCTGTACCCCTGTATATTACGGTCCCTAAGAAATCGTCCAAAAGTTTCTTGAACAATTCCACATTATTTGCTGAAATCGCCGGCTGTGGCAGTGAGTTTCAGACCCTAACTGATCTTACTGTGAAGAACCCCATGGCACATCATGTTATTTTTCTGTATTTGTTTAAAGGGATAAAAAAAAATGTGCATGTATTGCAGAGATGTATTAAATATGTTTTTCTTTTTCATTTTGACATGCCCTTTAAAGCTCTTATGTGAGGTTTATTTGTGACGAGTAGGGTGTTTGATAGACATACAAGTGTACACTATACATTTTTGGGAGTATTGTATTTCACTTTCTTGATGCGTTTGACTTTATCTTTCATTCACTTTTGCTTGCAATATCATGTTAACATATTCATACGAACAGAATTAAAAAAAAAAAAAATATATAAGTCAGCTCACCTTTTCCTAAAATAAAAAGTCGAACTGTCATATTGACGAAGATCCAGGAGAAGCCCAGGAACTGCACAAGATTATACATAAACAAGTACCCGCGCTTCAGGTACAGGAAAGCTGGCAAGAAAAGAATATGAGGAGAGCGATTTAAAATAAAGACGGATATGTATTCAGCAGCTTCAATTACACATTGGCCAGTTCACTCAAAGACTCATAGATTAGACTGATCTTTGATTGAAGGAGGTGGATGGTGTCATTCATCCACCTGTCCTCCAATTACAGATCTGAATGTGAAAAAAACATTGATGCCGTTAGCTAGGATGGGGGACTCTTCCCAAACTACTGTAATTTGACAGTGGCGGGTGTACCATTGCCAGAATACCTGAACAGTGACTGCAGCTGATTTAGCCAAGGATCTTTGGATGGCTCCTTCAAAAAGTCAACTGAAAAATGGACCAGGGGGAAGGAGCTGGGTCTTGAGAGAGCCACACATTGGTCAAATTCCGGCCACGTCACCAGAACACCACGCTTAACAAGCAAACAGAGACCCCCACCATTGTTTACTCTTTAGTTACCGGTTTGAATATTATTTGCATAGCATGAAATATATGAAGATTGAACACTGAACATTTGCAAAAGCGTGTGCATGCTGTTCTTGAATGACCATTTTTACTGTCACCTGCATAAATGTGGGTGATTAACTGCCACTTGAAATACCCAAATATGCCAGATTTAGACTGCTCATATATATGGAGATGTGGTCAGCTGATGACCCAACCTGAAACATATCTGCCCTTCTCTGAATGTCTACAAGCACCGATCAGCCTTAAGAAAAACATGTCTAGTTGTCAGCCTTCACAATTCAGAATCATATGCAAGAAAAAAATTCTAAATACAAAGCAAGTATTACCACTGGGATCCAGTATCCTTCAGTGCTAGTCTCCTCACTAAGCATTCCTATAAAAAGGCAAACATGCCAGTTACGGTTTCAGGCATAAACCAGCTTCAAATAGTGGCACCAGATGAAGCTGTTTCTTGTACATGGATTATGTTCTTGTAGTAAGGTGAAATCTATGAGGTAGCTCAACTTTATTTAGGATGGAAACAAGACCTCTCTGTAAAAGTTCCCATAGACATGACATCCAATCTGGCCAATTTCATCTAGATCAAATGGGAAACTATGCATCTTTGAGTATCAGCAGAGCACACTGGACACCTAGCTGATGAATCTTGTAGGAACAGCATATTGTTACTTCTAGGATGATTATTGATGCTTTTTTCCCCATAAAAACTGGATTTTTGGGCTTATTGCTCCTCCACTTCTATGAGTGCTGAAAATGGCTGCAGTGTCTGCCGTCAACTGCACCCTGCATGGCTCTCAGTAACAATCAGAAAAGACAACACAGTTTCCTGAACATGCACACAGAAGTTACTTATAGCAAAGGAAAGAAAAAGTTGGAAGGGCATAAAAAGCTATCTGAATACAGCTGTAAAAAAGTACAACATACGAGCATGATAGAATGACTTCTTAGCCTTTACTCGGGGATACATAGTTTATGTCCGTTTTCTTTTCACTTAGAAACAAGTTAAATAGGTTAGTAAATAACATAACATGCCTGTTCTACTGTCCCTTTAATTGTAGTTATTAATGAGAGACAGAACAGGAAGCCAGGCATCAGTGAAATGAGAACACTTATTTCCTGCAAGAGTTGTGTAAAATGGATCTCCTGTTACTCAACACAAAAATCCACAATAGCTGGTGACTGAGACACCAAGAGACATTGTCACCTTGCCTCACAACCTTCTTATATTCACCTTACCAGCACCATCCAACCCTCCCTCCTTCTCTGCAACTGTTTAGCGACTGCCAGGTATGGAGAAATATATGATCTCCACCCTGGGACAGTGCTCTGGTAACAACCAATCGCAAGACCTGAGCACTGTTACATGACTGGTGGAGTGATGTCACTGCTCCCCTAAGATGCCAACACCAGTCATGTCAGTGCCATCTGTGGAGATGGGGAGGAGTGTGAAGGGATCGCTGGTAGGGCGAGTATGGGATATGTTGGCCTTTGCAGAGAAACTCTCACTTTGCCCTGCATGGACCAGGAGACAGTAGATCATCAAGCTGGCTTTGGACATCAGAGTTATTTTACACATTTGGAATGTGTGAGTGTATATGTTCATGTCTATGCAAGATGGTGAGCTAACACAGCCAGGTACATTGTATGGGCAAATATTTGTTGGGAATTGACCATCATAACTTTTTAGTTATCCCATTGCAAAGGCTATGGGCATCAATTTGGAGTTGACCACCACTTTGCAGATTTAACCCCTTCATGACTGAGGCCCTTTTTTCAATTTTTGCACCCATGAATACTATTCTCAGGAGGACTTCCACATGTTTTCAAGTGTGTCTATGGGAATGTGGGCCCATTCATCTAAAAGAATATTTTTAAGGTCAGGTACTGATGCTGAACAGAAGTCCTGGCTTGCAATCAGGGTTCCGTGCAGGCCACTTGAGTTCCACCACACCAAACTCAAACCATGTCTCTAAGGCACTGGCTTTGTGCACAGGGGTAAAGCCAAAGTGGAACACAAAAAGGGCTTCGTAAAACTGTTACCCCAAGGTTGGAAGCCCAGAGTTGTCTAAGATGGCATAGCTGGTCACGTATCTAGACTTTGGCCATATAGTGTACCTGTGATGCTGACATATTTATTGTTCTCCCCCTGCAGGGATGAGTACCACAGCTTGAGGCAGACCAGACACAAGGGCTGTTGCATGATCAGAATGAGATCTGATCACCAGAGTCAGTGAACATCTCCAGCCAATGGGACCCTTAAAAAAATGCACATTTAGATTTCTGTTACTCCCTTCACTGGGACTTACGATCTTCCCGGACTCTGGACTCTGTCCTTATTTTTGTTATCCTTTCTTCTTCCTAGAATGACAAGAAAAAGCAAGTTAGACAAAATGGAAAAACTGGAGCACTGGTGACCATGCTCATATGCTATCAGCATCTAGTCTGAATACAATTTGTACATTTTTCACATCATTTGGGTTTCCTTAAACCTTTCAAATCATACTGCTAGTTCAAACAGCAACTACAGGATACAAAGAGCTCAGTCAGTGACCTGCTAAAGCTATCTAGGTTAAAGTCAGGACATTTCGCTCACAAACTCTGTGTTTATATAACCCCTTGCAGATAATCATCAGGTTTAGAGCCTCTTCACAAACTATTGCATCAAGCTCCATGATTTTGCAACATCCAAGCAAATGACAACTGAAATATGTGGATTGTCATTGCTGATCTTCTCAAGATGCTAGTTTCTTGGCTGTGTCTGGCATCTATAATTCTAAGACACAGGCTTGGAACAATCATGCAACAAATGTAAGTCAGAGCTCCTTTTCTGTACAGTTGTTCCAGGGCAGCAACCCAAAGTATTGAATGAAAAGAATCAGCATGACAGCCAGGCAACTAATCATTTTCAGGATAGGTCAGCAATGGTAACCTGCGTGCATCTCCGATGACAGGTTGCCATTAATGCGCCTATGTTTTAGTTGGGAAGGTAGCAGTGGGCTCAGAAACAAGTTAGCATTGCATTTGCAGAGGAAGTGATGTGACTTCACATGTGACTGACACCACTGCAGTTACATATTTAAATGGAAAGTTGATTTTTACCAACAGTACAAAATGGCTTATGTAATAATTCCGTACAGCATGTTATATTATTATTTTAGCAAAAGTAAAGTTTTCCTTCCAAAAAAAAAAAAGTTCCACACGTACAATTGAACAGAATAATGACTCGCATTACCTTCTCCCGTAACTCCATCTCTGCATCGGACTCGTCAAGCCAGCGGTCGAAGTCTGGAGCCAAGAACAGTGGCTTACGCTCTTGCTTTATCAAGCGTGGCCACCATCGATTCTCACTCTTTTTCACAGTGAGGTTTACATGTCGCTGTGTGGATCGCTGCACCACCTGTCCAGTTATCCATGCATAAAGAAAACGATATATTATTCATGACTCAGCCATAAAGGACACTTGTGCCAAACCATTAATAGCTTTTTAGCACAAGACAATTACTTACCTTAGCTTTTACAGGCTCTAGGAATTCCAAGGAAAACTCATATGTGTTAACTCCCTTAGCGCCATGTCCCAGAGCTGGAGGAATGGGAGGAAAAAAAAAATTAGT